TCCCATGTCTCATTATCAAATCTTCGAGATCCTAGAGGGATTTTTGCAAATCCAAACATGCAAATGCTGAAACCTCTTTTCAAAATTTTGACGATTTCCAATTCCCTTTTTTTTTACGATAGCTTACCATTTCAATTTCCAAGAGGATGATAGTCTCAACAAATGGTGCAGAACGCTCAACACTCTAGCTTGTTTCTAGGTCACTGAACAACGAAAAACCGACCAGAAAGCTATTGATAAGCCAATCCTTGCCGCTATCAAGAAGAATCCAGAGCACAAATTCCTCTTTGGTTATCTGGGATCACGATTCATGTTGGGAAAGAGGCAATATCCTCACAACATGGTGTTCTAAGTTTGTTGTTGTCAATAAATTGTTTGTTATTTTCAAATTGTGCTCTTTTTTAAACATAAACAGCTATTTCCTCGCCAAATTTGGATTTTGTCTTCAAAATTGAGCTGGGCTATGAGACACTATCTTTCTCCTCGAAGTTAATTACCTAAATTTTCATTTCAGTTGTCTCAATACTTTTTATTCATTTTTCATGGCATTCTTTGTTGGTACTTTGTAAAAAAACAACTACACGAGGTTTAATCATCTTGGAAGCGACAAGGCCGGCTAGGAAATGTTTGCATCTAGTCTCTGGTACAAGATGGGTTAGTGTAGTAATATTGTTGTGAACACTCCAGTAGTATAAATCGAACATTTATTGATGACCGGATTTCGTTGGGCAAATGAAAAATTAAAAGAAAAAAACGACTAGATGACAATATTTTAAAAGCCAATATGACTTTGAACAATTCACAATTGACATTCAGAAAGGAAAATGGCAATTGTGGGAAATAAAACAGTCTCTCGTGTTCGTGGGCGCAGCGCTCAAACCGTGCTTGAAAAATGGAATTGGTGATTTTGAGCGCTGCTGATTCAGAAGCGAGCAATCAAGATTGAACTAGAACTTTCTAGCACTAAGGCATCTTGTGATCAATTACTACTTGACATGACATGCGATCTAGGTGATTGGACGTATAGGAGTTGAGCCTGACTTTTGCCTAATTGCAGAATTTTCCTTAAAATCTAACACAGTATTGCAATACTCCCTCAAGCGCTGTGAAGAAGCTTTTGTGTCATTTTGTCTCAATTCAAGCGCGATATATGGGACATCGGGCAGATTATTTACAAAACAAAACTTCCTGAAGTATACGGTAAACAACACTAGGAGGTTTCTCCACAAGAGAAATCATGAAGTGTCGAGTTGTTGTTAGTGGTCTTCGTCATTAGACCGTTGTCAAATTGTGACATATCAAATCAATGTCATTGCCATTTTTCTTGAACACCGCCTGTTGAGTGGCATCCGCTGGGAAGATCCTCACTGCTCTCCATTTTCCTCCAAGGCAAACGTCCAAAGCTGGTGAGATGATTACCTCCGGCTGTTTGAGGTTACCTCTAGAAAAAAGATGATCATTGATTGAATGAGAGAAAGTAAGCAGAAAAAATAATCAAATAAGGAATTAATGCACTTCCTCTCGAATTGGTACAGCAGTACACCAACAAGTTCTCCGACCCTTTCTTCGTCCTTGGGGTTCTTCATGCATCCAATGATGTCATTGTCAGGGACATGGATGATGAACAGACCATTTGGTTCCGGACACAGAGATATCCGAGTTACCTGAAACCTTGGCTACCATTTCGTAATAGGACGGAGAAATGAAGGTCGAAACAAATGACTCACTTTGAGCAGAGGAATTGGTTCCTTGAGTAGTTTGAAGCTAATCGAGTCAAGCTTAGCAATGTATTTATCCGTGATGACTAGTGCTCTCAACGACGATTTGTTATAGCGATTGAATTTCTGAAAAACTCTTTAACCTCTTTAATGAAGCAAAAAGCAACTTCGTAACTGATGCGTTGCTGTCCAGGTTGTTTTATCTTAAAACCTTGGCGTTATTTGGTTTATACTGCTCTTTTGTACGCCGTTACAGGTTGTTAGAGAAACACAAGCCTAAAGTTTCGGCACAACTCCTTTTTCAGTGGCCTAGAAGTGATCCATTCATCTATCACACGTTCCATCCCACCAAACACCTTCTCCATCCCGTACATTTCAATAATCCATTACGACAGAAGCTGGCTCAGAATCGACATCAACCCACCAAGTGTTTCACCCTGCTTAGTAAGAGCTTATATCTCACTGCTACCTACTTATGATGATGACTGTGCTGGGCGGTTCAAGATGACTTGAACGCGCTTATGTCAGGTAATCTCAGAAATCGCAGAATGATAGAAACGGCTATAGATCATTTGTAATAGATAGATGCTTATTCTTGCTATTCATTCTAGGTACGCGCGCAAGTGTCCAAGAGGCTTCTCACGTTTTTTGGAAAGAGATACTCTTCAGAATTGTGCACTTTATATCAAAATTGGTGGGACTTCCTTCCTATGCTTATCCAACTCACAAGAATCTATGTTCTTTCTTTCATTAGACAAGATTTACATAAAATGGTTGGCGGATCACAAGTACAGGTGCTTCTCTTTGCCCCATTGCTAATCCTCTCAATTAAGTGAAGTATACATTCCAGACTATTTGTAAATAAATTAGCTCTTGTTAAGAAATGTCTTCGTTGCAATATTATGGTCACTAATTAAAAGGACTGGCCATGGAGCTAAGACCATCCGTGCTTGCCACCTGTTTTATGTATAAGACGACCAGTCAGTGCCCCCTAATGTAAACCGTCGATGACATAATTACATCCACTCTATCCAAAATGGCTGTATGTTTTCAAATTTTTAATCAACACAGTAATACAGTCTTACAAGAGAAAAGCCACGACGGTTGGTTACCGTAGCTCAACACACAGCTAATTAGTCAAGGGAGCGAACTTGAAGTGACATCGAGAAGAAAGCAGTAAGAATAT